GTTTTAGGGATATTATGATCTGAATACTATAAGCCACGGCGGCAGTCGACTGATAACAGAGCTCCGCACAAAGGTGAACACTTGTATGATGTCATCTTACAATCGCCTTAATATCCATTGTTTTTGCTCTGTTGTTATATGGCGAAATTTTATTTATACATGTTCCCTCATGCATTAGCTAAGATCTTGTCCACTTGCGCTATTTTCAGTAAGGGATGAAAATTACTATGCTATAAGCTACCTTAAACATGGTCGGTCTGGTACCCCGTTCCCCTTCATAACCAAATCATTCCATCGCAAGCTGATCTGGATGATAGACGAAAGTGGTCTTTAAGGGCATTCGAGAATTAGACAGCCGCCCAGCCGTCTCCTATTAAAGAGTTTCACAAAACGCCCTGCATTCCAGAATACACGTCATCTGAAGAGTCACTCTGATGTTCTGTTGCAACAACACAACCATTAAAAACATCGCCATTCCATAGTTTACTTTTAAACAATGAAGTCTACAGCATTTAAAAAATCAATGTAAAAGTAATAAATCTTCTAGTTCGAAATTTTTCCGATACAATGATTTATCGCTACGAGTATTAATCGACAAAATTATTTTAAGCTGGCGTTTCAGAAATATCGTGCAGTATCCGTCATCATGCTCCGAAACATTAGATTAACCATGATGAATATCGTATTTTGGGATTGTTACGCGAAACGTCTAAAAATCAAAGCTTTGATTAGCGTGACGGTACTGATACTCTTTTGTTAGTGTAATGGTACCCGCTTCATTTTAATTGAGCCTTTGATCTCTAACCTTATGATATTTCGATGTTTCGCTGTTAATTACTTTCAGCTAGCTACCGTAACTTTCTTGCTTAATTATGATTTGCCGTTAGGGCAGTTAAGATCAGGTAACAGTGGGAGCTTATAGAGCGATTTCTAAGAAATGGAACAGAATGCAGTGTTTGCAGCGGATTCTTTTGTGCTCGTTCTATCACCCGTGAGAGATGATGATTAAACTCCGTCCGTCAGTTTCGATGACCATTTACCATATAGTGTCGCGTAGGCACACTTGTCAGCTAGTGTTTCCATTATTCCTGATCATGTGCCAGCGTTTTAGCTTCACGAGAACATAAGCCGAGTATAAATCAGACTGTGTCTAGTCATTTGTCGCAGGATATTCTTGGCCGCCCCCTGCTTCTTCAGTTAGTCATTTACGTAAGTCATGGTTGTTGCTTTTTTCCTTTTTGAAAGCACCTCCTAGACATAAAGCTGAATCATCACAGCTGTGGTTTGTCAGTCTGAAGAAGAAGCGGCTGTACGCAAAAACTTTTTTGGATATAGGAACGCCGGACCTTGTCGAGAACCGTGATCTCAGCGATTCGTCTCAGGGAGCCCATTTCGGCAGCTTGTACCCTGGATCGAAATTTTACAGTCGCGGTGCACGACTTGAACATCGATATCTTAGTCTTCAAATCCAGCTCTGCATTGGTCACGATGATTCCGGCTAGTTCATGCAGAAGGCCACTGGCTACTGCAAATCGCCGGTCAATCTCTGTCTCAAATTTTACATCACCAGCAAAGGTCACCTTGAACTTCTGAACCTGCTCCATTGCTGCTCCGTCAGTCTAAAAGGAGCAGCGGGCAGGAGAACCAGAAGCACTAGGCTTTTCATTTTAGATACGTTCACACGCGCATACCGGTCACGTGGCACTCTGTTGCGAACCTTTCTAGGGAGCACTGAAGATTAGTTTCAGAAGAGGCTAATGAAGCAAGGTCGTTTGCACACAGTAACCTTCTCGTCTTCATATTTCCTACACCGATACAATCATCGCCTTGGCAGCTCTTGACTATTCTATCCATGTACAGCACAAACAAGATATGGGACGGAACATTCTGTTTATA